ATGAACACTAAAATCATTCTTTAGGCCACCAGCAGCAATAGTTGTTTCTGCTTTTGTAGAAACGTGTCCAACAGAAAGACCTACAGTCGCACCGCCGAAGTTACGAGCGTCAGCAGAAGCGATTGTTGTTGCAGCAGAAGCAGCAACGATCAAAGATAATGCTTTTTTCATAATTTAATCCTCAAAAAAAACTAAAAGTACAAAACACTTTTTACACCCCCACTTTTACAGGAAAGTTTTTCTCATGCTTAGCCCTTACAAAGCCTGTTTGGAAAAAACGCCAAAAAATGTTGCAAAAAAAACACAGGAGCTGTGTCTGTTTTGCACTCATGGAGGCGAAAAACTGAGGAGAATCTATCAAAAAAATCCAAAATCACAAGGAGTTAGTCTCTATGGTATGGATGGCTGCTCAGAATTTGATGAGCTCGGTAGATTTGTTCTAATAAGAGGAGTCTTACCATCATATGAGGCCATGTGGCTTTGCCGAGTGACAATGTTAGATCGGCTTTTCTTATAATAGAAGCGTCTAAGCCATCAGCTCCACCGATGACAAAGTTAAGATGTATACCGTGTTCTTTATAAAGAGCTGCAATTTGGTGGCTAAAGTCACGGCTTGTGAATTGCTTTCCTTTCTCATCAAGAACGACGAGCCCCTCTTTTTTAGTGAGAGTTTTTTCAATGAGCTTTGCTTCTTCTTGCTTTTGTTGTTCTGGGGGAAGCCCCGTTTTCTTGCAGTCAACTTCAATAATCTGAGGGGCATAAGCACTTAAGCGTTTACAGTATTCTTCAATTGCTCCTTTTAAAGCGTGTGAAGACTTCATTTTTCCAACAGTAATCAGCGTATAGCCCATAGAGCTTCTTTTAAATAGTATGCTTCAGTGTGTTCAGATTTTGTCTGAGCACTTTCTAAAAGGGAAGAAGAATTTTCAACCCTGTGCATTATGAAAGGTGCTAATAGTATCCTTCGTCCATTATTTCAGCTTGTAGCTTATTAATTATAATGGCAACAATACTAAAGAAAAGAGAGGACTGAGAAGAATTTTCTTGAAGAAGAGCACAAAAGTCATTCTAAAAATTAGGATCAGAAGAGAAAAAGAAAATGCGTTTGTCAGGTTGTATGTGGTGCAAAAGCCACATTTTTTTTAGGAAGATAGGTTTAGTATAAAGAGGCTACCTTTTTTTGAAAAATCCCCTTAACTTGAAAAATAGTTAATGTCCTACGATTAAGCAGTTGGGAGAAGATAAATGAAAAAGTCTTTAACTGTGACCCTTTTAGGTTTGTCAGTTCTTTCTTTAGGGTCTTGTGATAAAGCTGATTAGCGAAATGACTGTACACGGAACTTTTCTGAAGATTCCGCGACTCTTGCAAAATGTGAAGCTCGCGTGAAAAGTGGCACTAATGAAGCGGTGATTTCCTTAGAGAGCTTGGATGTTCCTCGTGTTCCTAAAGATATCGGTTCTGGACAAGACTAGACACGTTAATCAGGATTAAAGGTCTGAAATAAAAAAAAGGAGGAGGTGTCTATCTCCTTCTTTTTTTATTTGAAAGTTGAGTACTTATTAGAGAGCGTTTTCTCTTTGTGGTAAGCAGGGATGGTGAACGTTTATAATGGTACAATAACATTCCTTATATATTTCTGGTTTGCATAGTTGTTTGAGATGTCTTCTTTACCCTATTTTTCAGACGTTTTAGTGTGAAAAAATATCTTATAGGTTTTCTAATTTTATATTTTTTAAAAGAGGAGACCTTTCTGAAATAGAGAAGAGCATAAATTTTTTTAAAGGCTGTTGACGTTTTTTGAAAATTGTAAGAAAGTATGCCTGGAGCCAGGATCTCTTTCTTTAGAAGGCATTTGGTCATCAAAAACAGGGCGTTCAGTACCTGTGACGTTTTATTCAGCAACGGTTTCTGCAGGGCAACCTTGTCCGGTAGATGCTTTAGAAGAAGGGCATTTAGACATTAACGATCATTTGTTGAGCGATCCAGATGAGACTTTTTTTGTTCGTGTCAGTGGTGATTCTATGATTAATGCAGGAATTCATCCTGGTGACTTGCTGGTTGTTGATCGTCAGCGTCGCCCTGAAAGCGGTAAAGTGGCTGTTGTCGTCGTAAATGGTGAATTGACCGTAAAGCGCTTGTTTAAAGACAAGTCTCGCCTATATCTTGTTCCCGAAAATACAAACTATCCTACTTTAGAAGTCTCAGAAGAGATGGATATTTACATTTGGGGCGTGGTCACGAACGTCATCCATTCTCTTTAGGAAATTTTGGAAACTTATAATTTTAGCCGTATACTTTTTGTGGCTCCTATTGTTAGAAGGAGAGAAGATCGTTTATTTTTTGTGCAAAGCTTTAGCTTTTTTTAGGTTGTTATTGAAGTCATTGCTTTCACTAAGGCTCTTCCAGAAAAGCTCTTCAAAAAATTTGATTTTCCCAAATCAATAAAGGTGGCAAAGGCTTCACTTTGTTACTTGAATCAAGGCTAATTTTATTCAGTACCGCTAGGCAAAGGGCTTATCGTTTTGATTCTTAAGTTTCAGTTTAAAATGTGTGGTTACTTCCTATCCTTGTAAATTTAAAAGCTAAGTTTTGAGAATGTTTTTCTTAGTGTTATGTCTCTTGCCTTTGCTTCTTATGGTTCTTAAAAAAGCTATTGTTACTGTGATCTAGGGAAGAATGCTCATGCGTCATACGATTTTAGAAATTTTTAACTCTATTTTTCCTGCAGATTCTTTAGAGGAAAAACATAAAGAGGAATTGGTGGCATGGTTGCACTCTGGCGCGCCTTTTATCCGTACCAAAAGCCCCTGTGTTCCGAATGCGCATATGGTTGCTTATTTTTTGCCCTATGATGAAAAGCGTGAAAAAGTTCGATCACATGAAGGGTGGGATATGGTTGCCTCCTGGGGGGCATATAGATGAAGGCGAGCACCCTATGGAAGCAGCGCGGCGTGAGGCCCGAGAAGAACTCGGGATAGAGGCTAGATTTTGGAAGGATGAACCTCTCTTTTTGTCTAAAAACATATCATCCCTACCTTGCGAAGAACATCAACCATGTCATCATATAGATGTGGCGCTTTGGTATGTTCTATCCCTTTCTGAAGAAACTCCATTGACTGTAGATTACCGTGAATATCATCGCGTTCAATGGTTTGATATTAATGCTATTCCAGGCAATCGTGTTGAGCCTCACCTTAAACGGTTTTGTCAGAAGGTTTGGGGAGGAGAGGGGCATAATACCTAAAAATTCCTTTATTTACATGAGGTTAAAAAGCTAAGGACAATAAATTAATATCGTATTTATTCCTTCGACAGCGTTAATTTACTGTGTATAGGCTTTATCGTTCATCTATCGTCCGAGAATCAATTGAAGGAATTAGATTTTTCAAAGCCTATAGGAAAAGTTTGGTGAATTCTGTTAGCCAGGAGAAAGAAGCCTAAGAAATAAGAGGCGTAGGCTTTTAAAAAGTGGTGAGAGGGCCTGTAAGCCGGGTTCTGTCAACATTTCTAAAGAAATGCTGTGACGATCATTCATCTAGGACATGGATTGCTCCATGCCTCAAGCAACCTACCCGGGTCGTCCTTTGTAAAGACCCAAAGGGGAATGCCAAAGCGATTCCAATGCGACCCCTATTTGGTCTTGCTCCCGGTGGGGTTTACCCTGCCACTTCTGTCACCAGAAGCACGGTGCGCTCTTACCGCACCATTTCACCCTTACCAAAAAGGAATGCTCCTTATTGGCGGTATATTTTCTGCGGCACTTTCCCTAGGGTTGCCCCCGCTGGACGTTATCCAGCACCGTGTCTTTGTGGAGCCCGGACTTTCC